AGGAGGTAGAAATTCAACCTCAGTTTCTTCATCCATCAAATGGGGATGATGTTTAGCCTACAACCATGGGAGGAACAATTTAAGATAAAACTAAGGTAATTGATAGAAGTATGCTTTTCAAGGCATAGAACTACACAAACCCACACAAAATTACTATCATGAAATTATGGGTCCTGGGAAGGTGAGGTGACTCTGCTGTCCTCAGTGAGCACATGGACTAACGGGGAAAAGATATGAGTACATTGGCTGGCAGAAGGAAACTGGGCCCTGAGCAGGCACCGGTGAAATGTTAGAAGGGCTGTCCTCGTGGTGCAGGGAGCACAGCGTGGCATCTTGAAGAGACTTGGGTTAGAATCAGTGAAAAGGGCCCCAGTCACAGAGAAGACAGTGAGCTCGGGGACGGCTGGCAGTGGAAGGTGGGTGGTGTGGCGCTGGTAAGATTGATGGGGGAGGGAAGGGTCCTTGGGAGCCCAGTGGGTAGATCCCTGTGAATCCCACTAAGTACATTGCTTAACTGCAGACCGCTGGGGCTCTAAGCAGAGCAGGGACAAGGTCTGAGATACATTCCAGAAACGGTGGAAAGACAGCAGGTTCTAAGATGAGAGGACTTCCCAAACCCCGGTGTCCCCGTCTCTTCCGTCACAGTGTCAGTGGGAGGAACGACAACCTGGATGGACTTGGCCTTGAGAGCTGTCATGGAGCCGGGCGCTGCACTTGAGTAAGAACTGGCTTGGATTCGGGCTCCTCCACTCGTCAGCTGCCCGACCCAGACGAGGGATGCGATGTCAGCGTCCCTATTTTGCAATGGAGACAGTGATTGTGTGATCAGGCACTGCACCCAGCCGCCTCATTTCCCACTCACAATTCACTTGAATACGGAGAGTAGAGAGACAGGACCCACGCTGATGTCCTTTGTGAGGTGTTTGGGAAATGCTCACTGCGTTTCAGACCCACAGAGGCGTCACCACGCAGAGCTCTGAAGCTGTGCTGTCTTCTAGCTCAGGGGAGGAAAGAAGCTCAACAGACTCAAAGGTCAGCCAGCTGGGCAGGGCCGACCTGGACCTTGACTCCATGACTGCCAGACTCCCCACTCTATTGCCCTAGTGGAGAGGGTTCCGGCTGGAAGTCTCTGCAGCTGTCTGGTTCCGGTGAATGAGATGGGAGCAAACACTCAGGTTTTCCAGGTTTCCAGCAAGAGGGGGCTAAGAGAATTTCAGAAAAGCTGCAGCTTCCCCTGAATGTTCTGTCTGGCAGATGTGCCGAGCCCTGCTGTCAGTCACATCAACAACGACAAGGAAGGTATGGAGCCAAGACTTGGAAGTCTCTACACAAAACCCACTTACGGCTTTCATTTGGCTTTTGAGTCAGGGTCCCACTGTATGTCTCAGACTGGCCTTGAGCTTCTGGGTCTCTTGTGTCAGCTACCCAAGTTCTGGGGCCCCCGGTGTACCTCGCCGTTCCTCACCTCTACCTGTCTCCTTTATTTCCGCCTTTATCCTAGGCATTGATGCTGGGCTCACCGTGCCCCCTCCCAGGACCAGATGAAAGGGCTTCTGGGCAGCGTCTATGCTGACCCTATGCTACTGCAGGTTTTACTCTCACCCCTCTCCGAAGTGCAGAGCTCTGCTCTAGCGTCTCTGGGTCTCCTAGAGGTGGGGGCCCCTTCCTAGGGCATGCTGGAAGTGATGCTCACTAGAGACAGGAAGAGGCAGGAGGACTGTAATCACAGCCCCCACCTCCTGCCTCACCTGCCCAGGCCGTGGGCACCTCCTTGGTCAGGCAGAGGTGGGCCAGGGTGTGGCCCCAATGAGGAGAATGAGTTTTCTCAGGTGAGAATTCCACTGTAGAGGAGCTCCTCTGGATTCCAGGATGGTCCTGGCTCCAAGGCTGTGAGCTGCAGGCTAGGGTTTGAGCTCTGGGGATAAAGCAAGGAGCTGGGACTCAGACCATGGAACCAGGCCTTGCCTGCTATCACCGAGCCGTGGCTGAGGCGCAGTGACCTGACTGTCCCACAGTGCAGGAGTGGCCCAGCATGAGCCTGGAAATGTTTGGCATCTGTGGCAAAGCCCTTCTGAGTCGCTGCCTGGACTTCCTTGTGCTCCTGCCCAGCCCAGACTTCAACCTGTGTCCCTACTCCCTAAGAGACGGCAGAGGAGGGGCAGGCGAGGGCATGGAAGGGGTGGACAGGGCTGTGTGATCATGTGACACTGGTTGGCTGTGCTCAGTGGGGAGGAGGGAGAACCTAGGTGGTGGTTTGGGAGCTAGGACCAGGCTTGAGTTCTCTCTAACCCAGGCAGACGGTGGGTTGTTGAACCAGAGAATGACAGAGTGAGGGTCCTGCAAGGACCAGAGAGAGGGGAAGACACAGTGCTAGGTAAGACCTAGAAATGGCTGGATGGGGAGGAGGCTGGAGGGGGGGTCAGAAGCACAGACCTGGGAGCCTGCTCTCCCCTTGACAGCTTTTAGTGTTCTAGGCCGCTAAGATGGCTAAGATACACATTTTCTCTTAAGCCCGATCGATTCTCCTAGGGGCCCCTGCTGCACCTTGGGCCGCCTGCTTCCTTGAATGCCAGCACCAGCTCCTTGGTGTTTGCTCTGCACATACATGGGGGTGGCTGTTGGCAGCTTCTGAACAGAGCTTGTGAACAGGCAGCGCCTGGCTCAGGAAGATGCGGCTGCTGCCTGGGCAGGGCCAGCGTCCTCGAAGCAGGGCAGCTGGAGGCTTGTCCATCTTCTTCTGCTCCTACCTATGCCCTCTTTCTTCATCCATGATCCCAAGACCAGGAAAGCAGTGATCAGGGCCAAGGAACAGACTGGAAGGAGGGACGGTATAAGTGTGTCTATCTGTCATAGGGTGGTTACAAATCCAGGTATCAGTGGAAACCAGCTCCAAATCCATGACCCCACCCCCACCCCCACCCCGGGCCACCTTTCTGGAGAACTGAAGATGGCAGGCAGCTTGGGGCACCTGTTTGGAAGTGAAGGGAACTTCTAGCTAGCTCTGGTCCTGGTGGAGACAAGCAGTTAGACATTGGCAGATGGCCATGGCGAGGAGGTCAGGGTTTGTGCTGTGTCACCTTTACCTGCCCTAGGATCCCTTCTGACCTTTGCATTCTCCAGGGAAAAAGTCAAGGTGATGACAAGACACGTCTTCCGTATCTCAGCCATCATTGCAGTTGAAAGATGAGCTGGGAGCAGGTGGACTGCTTCAATTATGATGGATGGAGATGGTGACAGCTCTCGGGAGAGCTTCGGGAACCTGGCAAGTGTTCACTCAGCTATGACTCCTCTGGTAGCAATTTGACAAGATCAGAGCACTTTATGGAAGTAGAAAGTTTGGGGACCTTGGGGCTTGCTTGGCCGGGGGACTCCAGCTGCTGAAGCCCTTTGCCAGCTGCACAGGGCGGCACGGCCACTGTGGGCAGCTGCCTAGTAGGACCGGTGTGGGGAGGCCAGGGTCATCCTTGGGGAGCTTGTGCGCCTTCTGGCCCTGGCCACCACATCTGGGACCTTCCTGCTCTGTCTCCTTCACTGCCACTGAGGACAGTTTCGAGTCCTCACCCAGGGGTATCATTGTGGCTTCAGGCACAGTCTCAGAAAATAACTGGGCATCTCCTTTAAGTGCTGGACACTGGCAGGGGCAGTGCTGAGTAGGAGAGTCAGTTCTGCCTTTGTGACACACTCTGTGTAGACTCTGAGGAGACCAGACAGTCATCTGGGGCTAGATATGATGATGGAAATGTCACCTCCCCTCTCTGAGCTTAGGTTGGATAATCTATCACTTCTTAGGGATGGTGTCTGGGTATTAAACTGAGGTAACCTACACAGAACACACACACACACACACACACACACACACACACACACAGAGCTTGTCACAGAGTGTCTTTTAGCAAATGCTGCCTTTTCTCCTTCAGTTGGTCAGTTTCTTTCAGTGAATTTCTTCATTCACTCAGCAAGCTCCGTCAAGCACTTCCTGTGTGTTAGGCCCTGGGTGTGGCTCTTGGGAACTCTGTGCAATGGCAGATGAGGCACCGACAGACTTTTCTGCTTGGGGATTGGGAATTTGGTTGAATCCTACAGTGCATTGGCCCTCACGGCCCCTTGATGGTTTCTAGGCAGAGATGTCTGTCTTGCAGGATGCTAGTAACAGCCTTGGCTGCAGTCCTCCCAGATTAGAAGATGAAACCCTGGTGACTTAGGGCCTTCCAAATGGTGTGTGTATGAGAGAGAGAGAGAGAGAGAGAGAGAGGGAGGGAGGGAGGGAGAGAGAGAGAGTGAGTGAGTGCATGTGTGTATATGCGTGCATGTATGTACATATGTATATCTGTATGTGTGTGAATATGTATGTATGTGTGCATGTGTGTACATGTGTATACATATGTATGTGTATGTATCTATGTGTGTGCATATATGTGCAGATCCAGAAGTCAGTCTAGAGAGTAACCTTCCCAGAGCTGGGAGGGAGCCCCAGGTTTGGGCTACTCAGCCTGGAAGTGATGCATCCTTTGAATTCTTTATGTATATGTGGCTAGTGTGTGTGCATGCATGTATGTACATGCGGAGGCCAGAGTACCACCTCCAGAGATGGTTCTCATGCGCTGTCACTCTTTGAGAGTCTCACATCGGTGTTTGAACTTCACCAAAGAGGCCCTGCTAGTTGTCCAAGCATCTGTTTACCCCCATCTCACCAGTGCTTGATTTCCAAGCATGTGACCACCATGCCTTGCTTTTTATGTAGGCTGGGGGTCAAACTAAGGTCCTCATGCTTATAAAACAAGTGCTTTTCTGACTGAATCATCTCTTCAACACCCATCCTTCAAACTCTTATTAAGCAGCTGCTGTCCACACTGGAGGGTTAGGGGGGCTGGGGAGAGGCAGGGGAGACTCAGCAGGCCCCATCTCCAGGGGTTCTGGGACTAGTAGAGTGAGGATGAGTTGACAAGCATCGGTGCTGGTAGGTGAGGTCTGAGGAGGATGCTGCTCTTCTGGCAGGGACAAGAAGGCTTTGGAGAAGGGTACTTTCTGTGGACCCAGAGGGATGTTGAGCAGGAGCCGAGGAAGCACTGTATTCACACCCCCACGGGAGAGGCCTGGGCAAATGCTGCTCATCTCAGGATCCTCATGCACCATGCTCATCTGGACCAGATACTAGCAGGTCAGTGCCTCCTCCTCAGCATCTGGGGAGCTAACCTGTACTTCTCCCCAATAACTGTGGTTCTCATCCAAAATTTCTCTGTATTAGAAAACCAATAACATCCCCAAGGAGGCTGCTGTGTACCCCACCCTCACTCTGGGACAGACGCAGCTCTTGTCTTTGCTATTTTGTTTTGTTTTTTGAGGCAGGGTTTCTTTGTGTAGCTCTGTCTGTCTTGGAACTCATTCTGTTGACCAAGCTGGCCTTGAATTCAGAGATCTGCCTGTCTCTTTCTCTCCCGTGCTGGGATTAAAGGCGCGCTCCACCACCGCTTGGCTTTTTCTTTAGTTTTATAAGTTGCTCACACAGTGTTTCCTGTGCAGATGTTGGATGCATGCAGACGTATTTTAATAAGCTTTTGTTGTAGTTTGGACTCATTTGTTGAATATCCCGTTTCTCTGTTGGGAAGTGATAGACCCAGTAAAAGGAAGTCAGGTCACTGAGGAAGAGGTCCAGAGGGCTCCAAACAAATCCCTCTTCCTTATAATGATAATGGTCCTTGATATCTCGGGGATCCTGTCAGAGTGACAGAAATTGGACTAATCCACACTGGCGTTTTGACTGGGGAAGGGTTTTGATGGTGGTGCCAAAATTATTAAAATCATTCTCGAGCTGTGCTTCTTGGGGAAAGCCATACCCTCCCCGGGCCATAATTTTCCCTCTTATAGATCAGAGTGGTAGTTCTCTCTGGTCCCCACCCTGGGGTTACTTGACACGGTGACTCCATGGAGAGCTGAGAGAGAAGAACTGGGGTGGGAAGATGGTTACCCAGAAACTCCTGGCAAAAATAGAGCACGACCACCCCACTTTTCAGCCACCTGTTGGTCTGAGGCAGGTGTGACAATTTGGCACATTGTGGAGCGTGCATAGGTTACAGCACTTCCCTACTTGGCACTCGTGGCTGGATATTGTCAGAGCATTTGTTGTTTTTGTCTTTCTGTCCTCTCCCTTCAGAGCACCTTTGCATGCAGTGGGCCACCAGCAGCTGCGAGACATTTAGCAAAGGAGAAGCCTGCTCAACCTAACCTAAACTAAAACCCATGGACCACCCAGATCCCAAGACTCTCAGATGTCCTGGGTGAAGCTTGAAGCTGCTGGGGTGCTTGAGATGAGCCTGCACAATGATGATGAAGGCGGCAGCTCCAGAGCATGTAAAACAGGACCACGGACAGCGGCACTCCAGCATGCAAATACACAGGACACAGACAAAATCAAGCTGCAGTTGTCTTCCCCGTGTCGGGCCCGATAATGAACAAGTAATTTATGTCCAGGAGTCAGTGAAGCCTGTCGCAGGCCAGGGCTGAAATGTTACTACGAGGGATTCCTAGGAAGGTCATTGCCCTGCTGTTGTCACTGTTAAGGATTGTCTGTAAATGGCACGGCCTTGGAGGTGTCCCCTGCTTCTCTTGGCATCTTGGAGGGAGAAAGCACGGTGCTCCTTTGGAGCTGATACCCTGGAACCTTTGCACAGTCTGCCGTCAGCTGGCGCACAGTGAGGAGGGGTGACGAGGGGTGACGCAGGGTGGACCGGAGCCTGAGCAGCTGTGAGGACCTGTGGGCGGGAAGGTGAGACTTCGGCAGCCTTTCTTGGTCAGATAGGAAAGCTAAACAAAACAAGACAAAGTGGCTTCAAAACCTTTCTGTATGAATTAATTTGAATCAAATGCTCGATGTGACAGGGGCAGTGTGCTGAGGACAAAGAAACAGAGAATCTCCTTTGGGAGCACGAGACTGGCGAGTGGACCCATCACTCAGCCCTTGCCGGTGGGCACCGCTTACCCACCTGTTAGTGGCTAGAGAGTCTTCGACGTTCTCCGTCGCACTCAGAGCGTGCTTTAATACTCCCATTCCATGGATGGGGCAACTGATGCTCAGGGTCTTACAGTTTCTGTTCCAGAGTTGGCCCCTTGGATTCCTAACTTTGTCCATTGCCTCCCTCAGTGGCTGTTTCCAGACCCAAAAGGATGACGTCCCAGCAGGGAAATCTCTGGGACCCTCCCCAGCAGTGGCCTTGATCCTGCTCTTTCCTGCCATCTTTTCAGAGTAAGGGCCCCTCAGGTTTCCAGGCCGACTTCCGCCGGGGAGGGGGGGGGAATGTGGGCTGTTAGGGGATGGAGGGCGCCATGCAGAGAGTGACTAGGCCCCCATAGGCCTTCTGAGACATTCCTCCTTGGGAAACCATCCTAGGGGCTAGAACTGAATGAGTAGACTGCCCTCTGCTCTGAAGCCACGCTGATGTAGGTCTTTCAGCACATGGGAAGCTGCAGGGGACTTAGAAGGCGGGACTCCACAGCCCAGGAAAGGTGCACCCGTTTGGAGCCTGCCTTCTCCAGGGACCAGGCTTTCTTCCTAACGTGCCCTTGTTGTGCCCAATGCAGAAACTCAATCCAGTAACTTCCTGAAGAAGTCATGATTATTCAGGGACTCTTTGTTTCTGTGATCCAAGCTTGGCCACACCCAGGATTGCTTCTCTGTCACGGTCTTTCTCTGTCCCTCTCTCTAAGGAAAGATACAGTGGCTGTGTCTTTCCTTTTGTGGCTCTGGGACCCTGACCACGTGACCTCCACTCCCACATTGGAAATGTGTGTCTTGGTCTTGGCCAGTGGCCTCATGACACCGCATGGCTATGGCCAGATGTGCAGTTTGAGGATAATTCAGACACACTGGGCTCACTTCCAAAGCCCAGTTCTGGAAGAGAAAACCTACCAAGTATGGTCACACTTGTCTCTGGTACCTCAGGAGGCTGGCCTGCCCATAGTCTTCTCACTGGGTTTTCTCTTGTAGCCAAGATCTAATGTCCCATTGGGAAGCTGGAGGTCTCTGAGTATCTTCCTTAGTGGTTCTTGGGCCTAAGAAAATTTCTCAGAGTGAAGACAGCTCTGCCCTGTCTTGTATAAACAGACATATCATGTCTCACATCTGCCCCAGAGCCACTGCCTCAAGGAAAGCAAGGGTATAGACTGTCTACAAGGGTATAGACATGGAAGCACACACTTGTCTACAGGGGTATAGACTTGTCTACAAGGGTATAGACTGTCCTCAAGGGTATAGACATAGAAGCACACACTTGTCTACAGGGGTATAGACTTGTCTACAAGGGTATAGACTGTCCTCAAGGGTATAGACACAGAAGCACACACTTGTCTACAAGGGTATAGACATGGAAGCACACACTTGTCTACAAGCCTCTAGTACCTTCTCCCTTCCTATGAGATTTGGCCCAAAGATGGTGATGGAAGAAATTAGAGGCCTCCTACTCAGCAACAGAATACAGCTTCCCCTGCAATCCTCCTTCTGGCCTCCAGGCCTGGTCATCCAGGCAGAGAGGGTTTGGGGAGTAACTAGTTCTGAGGGTCATGCCTACTTCCTGACATGTCTCTTCTTCCAACACTATGCCTTCCTCTCAACTTTCTGGGAACTTAATCAGCTCTTCAGGAGAAAGGCTACCACAAAGCAGAATGGCACCCTATGCTGGGGCAACATGAGTATTTACCACAGTCATTAATTTTAATGACTACACCATATTTCATTGTATGTAAGCTTTTTAACTTGACAGATTGTTGAGTGCTTGAGTATTCTCACCCTCTTTTTAAAAAGTGCTGGGTTGAGTTTCCCTGGGCCAGACTCCATCTGCTCATAAGTAAGGGCATTTATTTTCATGTGAGCATTTGAGGGTGCGCATTCTCAGAGATGCAGACACACACATCTGTGTACACCACACACACGCACACACACAGAAACCGTCCCCCAGCCACACAGTCTCCTTGCCTTGAGACCTGAGCTGGTTGCTTCCTTCCAGGCATTGGTAGAAAATGGAGGCACTCAAGGACTGTGACACATGCAGTGGTTAGTGTCTGACCCTTGAGTGTGGTTGTCCTGTGTAAGGTAGTCGAGTGGGTAGTCCCTGGGTAGTCGAGTGACAGATCATTCCAGCTTGACTCTCACTGCTTTAGGACCAAAAGTCCTGAGTCTATGGAACCTCCCTGATACTTGTCCAGGTGGAAAGCAAGATGGTGGATGTGTGTGCCAACTGCCAGAAAGAAGTCTTTTGACTGCAGGGCAGCCACCAAGTGAAAACAAAGGTGTGACAACAAGAAGGACACAAATTTTCGGGGCACTTGAGGTACCAAGGAAGATTTAGAAGTCCCTCCTCTTTAGGGACAGCTTTGGTCCCTTGTATCAGGCACCAGGCATCCTGGACCTGCCTTGAAGATGCAGTGGAGTCTACGAGAGGAAGTGAGATAGACTGTGTGGAGAACTGCCAGCCCTTTAGGTCCTGATTAACTGAAAAGTTATCTTTTGGGCCAGGGAGATGGCTCAGAATGATGACTTCACAGGTAAATAGGCTCAATAAGTAAAGTGCTTGCTGGGTAAAGAGGAGGACCTGATCAGAACCTTGGCACCCACATAAGAGCTGATGCTTGTCTGTAAGCCCAACACTGGGGGTGAGAGCGGACAGGCAGATCCCTGGAGCTCAACAGTCAGCAGCCTAGTTGAACTGATGAGATCCATGTTCAGAGTCCCTGGCTCAAAAACTAATGTGGATCACTATTAAGAAGGCTATCTGATGTAACCCCTAGCAGCACTCCAACACTCCTGCACACACATTGCACACACCTATACCAGCACACACATACCCCCAGAAAAAGTAGTCTGTTGCTTGTGTTCAAATGGACCGTGGTGTTCTGCGCTTGTTTGCTGAGGCTCGAGGAACGCAGTAGTGCTGCGGCATCAGAGGTGCCATTACCATTTTTTGGACCATTGCTTCATGAGCAAAGACAGATCAAAGTGTGTGAATCCCCACTGCACCTAAACGCAGATAAACATGACGGACGGTAATGGCTCAGAGGAGCTGGTGGCGGCGTTTCTGGGAGCCCGTGAATGACGACGCTGCAAAAGAGCATTTGGATGCCGGAGCCCAGCCCCACCGGCATCCTCAGGGTACCGGTCCAAAGAGGACATCCTCTTCTGAAGAAGAAAGGCTCGGGCCTGGAGAGCAAAGCCAACAGTAGGGTCTGAGTTCCAGGGCAGCTCACACAGTCTGTTGCAATGCTGAGAGACAAGTTTCAACCACCGATGAAAAGGGCTGGAATTGGACTAAGAGTCCAACTTCCGTTAGGAACCCTGTTTCTACGGTGATGGGAACTCTGTGGGCCCTTGTGGAAAGAAAGATGGAGGCATCTTAAACACTTTATCCAGCCCTAGCTGAAGTGGCCTCTGGTTCACAGAGGCAGGGGCAGGTGATGCTCACATTTATGGGACCTGGGGAGTGATTAAAACGCAGGTTCTCCTCCGCCTTCTCCAGCTTCCAGGTCTTTCCCTTTGTTGGGCACTGACTAGGAGGTAAGCATTTGGGCTTGCTGTCTTGGATGGTTCTGTTGATTGTTTAGTTTTGGTTTTCTGTCTTAAGTGATTTTATTTCATTTATTTATTCATTTATGATTATTATTTTGCAGTGCTAGATATGTAGCCTAAGGTTTTATAATGCTTGGCAAGCATTCTATCACTGAGCCTCTGGCCTTCTTGGTGACTTTGTAACACGTGCGGGGTATTATCTTATTTTATGGAGAGGAAACTGCAGTTCAGAAAGGTGAAATAGCAGGCACACATGCACACACGCATGCATGCTCACATATATTCACACACGTAGAGAGAGAGAGTCACATAGTTCAAAATCAGCAAAGCCATGCCCTGAATTTATGTCTGTTTAACTTCAAAGTCTTGCTTCTAGGGGCTGGAGAGGTGGCTCAGCTGTTAGCAGCACTGGCTGCTCTTTCAGAGGACCAGGATTCAGTTTCCAGAACCCACACAATGGCTCACAATTGCCTGTAACTCCAGCTCCAGGACTGCCAGTGCCCTTTTCTGGCCTCTCAAGGTACCGGGCACACATGTGGTGCACATTTATATACACTGGAAAAACAGTCATATGCATAAAATAAAGACGAATAGAAAGAAAAAGATCTTTCCCTGCGCTCTGGGCTATGGTGGACATCACTTCCTGGGAACTGACTGCTTCGATGGCTCCATCCTGACTTCAAGCGTCCATACTCCTGAGCCGAGCCCTATCTTCTAGTCCAGCCACTCCCACTGTGACACTTGGACTGGTTGGTCATTTACCCACCGAGGACTTGCTCAGTGGGACCCGAAGCTGGAGGCTGTTGTGCCTGAGCAGGGACTCAGGCTTGTCTGCAATGTCCTTACTCTCTCTGCTTTCGTGATGAGACGACTTTTGACTCTGGGCTCTCCTAGCCTTAGACTGTGCTCGGTTTATGGGTCTACTAAAACTACTGCGACACTAGGTAGAGGGCTTTGGAATGTGAGCTGGGAAAGAATTCAGTCCACTCTCTTTTCCTCTGTGATGCCCCAAATGTATCTATGGAAGGGAGGGACTCCCAAAGGTGTAAGAACTTCCCAGGCAAGAAGAGCCATGATAATGCCTCCTGCTGTAGACTATTTGTTCAACTATGCAAAGATATGCTGCATTTGTTTGATTATGTAAAGATGAATTGTTGTTTTACCTTGCCTGCCTAAGGCAGCTGATTGATCTAACAAAAAGTGAGGGAGGAGGTATAGGCAGGACTTTCAGGCAGGGAGAGTAAAGAGGAAGAGAAGTTTAGGCTAGAGGAAGGAAGGAA